CAACAGTAAAGATTAACTGAGCACTGAGCACCAAAACGACTTCTTTCATTGTTTTTTTTTCCAGTTGGAAGATGGAACAATGTACGAATTAAAGGGATAGTTCAACTAAATATGAAAATTCTGTCATTAATTACTCACCCCCATGTCTTTCCAAACCCGTAAGACCTTCATTCATCTTCCGAACACAAATGAAGGTATTTTTGATGAAATCCGAGAGCTTTCTGTCCCTTCATAGGCAGCAACACAATTTACACATTCAAAGCCGAGAACGGTAGGAAAGACATCGGTAGAGTTCTCCATGTGACTCCAGTGGTTTGACCTCAATTTTATGAACCGACGCGAGTGCTTTGTTTGCCCCCCCCAAAAAATATATATATAATTTACAAATTTATTTATAAAAAAATTTATCTGCATTGTGCATTCATGAGAGCATCAAAAGACTTGCATGTCAACACAACGCACATGAGTGAGTGTTCACTGGAGTACCACGACATATGTGTTTGGATAATATTTTCATAAATAAATTTATGAATTTTATAAAATTATGTTTTTTTGTGCAAACAAAGCACTCACATCGCTTCATAAAACTGAGGTTAAACCACAGGTGTCACATGGACTACTTTAATTATGTCTTTTCTATCGTTCTGGACCTTGAAAGTTGTATGGCTGACTGTAGAGTTACAGAAAGCTCTTGGATTTCATAAAAAAATATCTTAATTTAATTAAATTTTTTTGTCCAGCAAAATACAAATTACAAAATACTCAAAAGTAATTAAATACATATTTTAAATGTGTTTAATTAAAATACTGCCCATCTCTGCGCACACACACACACACATACACACGTATAGAGTAATGTAGGTCAGAATAATACATCAGCTCACAGTCAATTATGCACTGTGTGTGTGTGTGTGTGTGTGTGTGTGTGTGTGTGTTGGATTTTATGGACTTGGCTTGTGCTGAATGCTGTGTAATGCTTCAGCACACAGTCAATTCTCTCACTGTTTGTCTCACAAATGCGCTTCTGTCTGCTTCTCTGTCTGCTAGGACCGAAGATCGTTTAATTGAGCAATTATTATTATTATTACTTTTTTTTACAGTTTCAACTTTTCCTATTGAAATGCCAAGCATATTTTGTTTTAGCAGGTAAGCTAAGCGATAAATGAAGCTACAGTATAGAGAGGTTTTGTTGCAGTGATTTTACCATTGTTAAGAGGAGTTCTTTGACACCACTAAAACCCTATTAACCATATTAAAATCCTGTCCTGCACAGTTGAGCTATGGACATGAATTGTACCTTGATAATGTCTCTTGTTGAGTAGAGGTGTGCTATTAGTTTCTATAAGATGAGACTTTTTCAGTTGATAAAATTGGGACAAATTCAAAGGCAGCATTGCATGTGTCTTTTGAAAAAACTGATTTGAGTACAATCCTAGAATGCATTGTGAAATACTAATACTAAATACATTGTGAAAAACAAATATCCAAGTTGGAATCCATTTCAGTTAGGATGCTGCCATAGAAGACTATGTATGATGTGCGGCAGCTCACTTGGTTTTGTAACATTCTGTCTTTGCATATGAGAAGAACTCAGTTCAGACAAAGCAGCATGCTAGACTCTCTCTCTCTCTCTCTCTCTCTCTCTCTCTCTCTCTCTCTCACACACACACACACACACATACACTCAGACACAATGGACATTAGTCTCTCAGCTTGTGTCAGACTAGAGGGGATGGATGAATGAATGCTACAAGGGAGGAGGGATGAAAAATGGATCTCGTCCTGTTTTTCTTTTCCCCTGCCCCCTTCCTCTCTCTCTCTTTCCCCTACCTCTTCCTTTCCTAACTGCTTTGTTTTTGTCTTCTTCTCCTCCAAACATTTCTCTCATACATGCACAAATACATTTTAACCAGTGAAGCCTATTAGCTCTGTCCAAAAACCTAGTGATCTGTGTTGCTGTTTAGATTGGCAGATACTTTCTAAGGAAGCTTGCTAACTAAAAAGAAAACTCACAAGTCAATGATTTGAACTGTTGTACACTCTAAAAAATGCTGGGATAAAAACAACAAATTTTGGGCAACCCAGCACTGGGTAAATTTTGGACAGATTGGGTTATTTTGACCCAGCTTGTTGGGTTTTACACATTAACTCATTTGCTGTTTTGTTTTGTTTTTTGACATAGTGCTGGGTCAGTCAACCTATTGAAGTTTTTTTATTTTTTTTTTTATTTATTTATGTATTTATTTTTCATTTTAATAATAAAAATGCACTCTAAAATCTGTTATATATATATATATATATATATATATATATATATTGTATATGTAATATATATATGGGCCATTCTACAGAATTGGTCCAAAGTCAGAGTTGAAAACGTTGGAAAAAAAGTATTTTTTCAAAAAAATTGTATGTATGCAAATTGTATAATATTGTATAATAAATACACATTTCTAGTAATTGCACAGTTAATTATCATATTGTATTTTCAGAAAGTTTTGGAATATTTGTCCTCTCCCCAAATTTGTCACTACCGAAACACAGTAATAATAATTTAATTAGAAGGGTTATATTGACCTATTAAGATTTTGTTTACATCTACATTGTAATTTTTTTTGTGTGGCTATTTTATTATTTTTTTCAGAGCTAAATCAATAAAAATTCAATTTTTTACAATATTTCAAGTGTAATTTATGAGATTTGTTGTATTTTGAATCCAATATTTCTTTGTAAAAGGTAAAAACTAACTAAAAAGAAAACTCACAAGTCAATGATTTGAACTGTTGTACACTCTAAAAAATGCTGGGATAAAAACAACAAATTTTGGGCAACCCAGCACTGGGTAAATTTTGGACAGATTGGGTTATTTTGACCCAGCTTGTTGGGTTTTACACATTAACTCATTTGCTGTTTTGTTTTGTTTTTTGACATAGTGCTGGGTCAGTCAACCTATTGAAGTTTTTTTATTTTTTTTTTTATTTATTTATGTATTTATTTTATCACATTACAGAATTTTAACTTGCATACTAAAACACTACTAAAACACAAAAACTCGAAAATTTTGTTTATTTCCCCCAAATATGAGGATTATGTGTTCCCTTTTGACACTATCAAAACAATGATGACATGTTTCGGTCATCACTGTTTCGGTAGTGACAATTGTCTGGGATAACACCCAAAAATCAAAGATGTCACTACCGAAACTCCACCAAATATTTCGGTAGTGACAATTTTAGATACTTTTGAACCTATCTCAAAGATGCTAATCAGCACATGGTTATCTAGCACAGTTCTGAACAGTTGTACACACATAAAAATTAAATGATATGGAAAAAATGTGTTCAGTAGTGACGTTCCTTAGAGTTACACAGATTTTTCAGACTTTTGAGCACATTTACCTCAAAATGATGGGGTCTATCTACTCACCCTGTAGCTATGAGAGAGAGGGACACACAAATATTTCCTGATCATAAATGTAGGGGTGTAGTCAATTTCAGTCTCATCCAATGGACTAAAACATACACTTCGGTAGTGACATGAAAATGCGGGAAACTTTTTTTTTTTTTACATAAAGTTTCATGATTTACAAATAAAATATAAAATAAATATATATTTTTTTGAACTTCACTTTTTAAAATAAGTTGAAATTTAGGGGTTTGGGTTCAGGACACCCGATACCCAATAAATTATGATTTTATATATATTAAGTTTACTAATATTTTAAATATTATTGTGGGTTTCAATAGATAGTAGAAGGATCTTAGTAAACATCTAAGATTTTAATACTTAATGCTTTTTAAATGTGTTTTTCGGTTGTGGGACAGTAGTGTGGACCAATCCTGTAGAATGGCCCATATAGGACAAGAACAGTTCATATACAATGGTGTTTTTTTATTTTTTTTATTATTATTATTCAATGTTAAGACTTGTCTTTTACAATCACAAAATTTTCAAAAACATTTAGTAAAGGTTTTAGGACGTGACAGAAACAGCAAGAACAGCCAATGGGAATCTGTGGGAAGAAAACTGCTATCAGTAGGCTGTTCCAGCTGATTATATTCATGACTTGTCTTATATTCATGTTTGAAAAGTTACATCAAAAACAGCTTTACCTCGTGCCATCTTGTCTGTCAAACTTTTCAGTTTCAACCCATCAAAAGCATAGCGTGACCACAGCTGCAACAATGGCGCACTAGATCAATAACGCTCCTGTTGTAAATGGAATATTTGGAATATTTGATATTGAAATAAGTGGAGTGCACAGAAACTTTGCTACATATAACAGCGAAGTCACTGTGTTTCAGTCCTGGTATTGCATTCGTTTGACTGGAGGTTCGCTTTGAGTGTAGATCCAGTGAATGCTAGCGTTCCAAGCAAGCTGACCCAACGAGCTGAACCCAGCATTTGGGTTAAAAAAAATAACGCAGCATTTTTAGAGTGCAAAAAAAAAAAAACTACCCAGCGCCTGGGTAAAAATGTTAAAAAATAACCTAATAAAATGACCCAACAGGCTGAACCCAGCATTTAGGTAAAAAAAAAAAAAATTTTTTAGAGTGTATGTATAGGAAGTAACCTCCTGTAACATATAAATAGCTTGTCAGGCAAAGCACACAGAAAATAGAATTTAGATTTAACATGTTGCTAAGCTAATAACTCAATATTCTAATTAGCATAAAAACACATTTGCGTATAAATTTAATTAGTAGATTAGATTGAACTCTTTTAATCTACACTTTTTAGTACAGAATAAAATGTAAGCATTATTTTAAAGAACATTTCTTCTCCTTATCGGCCAGGAGGCATGAGATTACTTGCATCTTTTTTTTATTTCCTCGGGAGAAACATGTGAGAGTCAGAAGACTCAAGCAAAGGTCTCCACTTAATCTTGAAAGAAACAACTGAGAATTTAAAACGATATAATTTGTTATATTTCTTTCTGAATGGAAACTATAAAAACCAAAAGCATGTGTATAACATGCTTTCTCTTTTTTCTCTTCTAGCAACAACCATATGTGATCTGTAGAATTGACCCCTCACAAGATAAACACAATGAATCAGGTATGAACACAATCTTAGAGTATCTCACAAGCAGAGTATATCTAAGAATTATGAACTTTTGTTGGTCACAGAGCTCATTTTCTGCAGGAATCAAAAAGCCAATGGACAAATGCTATTGGGTTTTTTGTCAAGAGAACCAGGATGTTAATCTCTGGCTTGGCCTATAATGTTACATTATCCCTGTATTGCTCTATTATTTCTATTATTAATTCAAATTAATGCAGTACAGTACTTGACAATCTAATTTCAGTATTGTACATTATGATACAACCCTACTAACAATAGTAGTGATGTGAGCATCAGAAAGCACCACTATAAAATAAGAAATAATGTGTTAACATTCATTCACCAGAGTTAACACCTCTAGCAGCAATTAAAGCAGTGGTGTCTTAACATTGTATTACTAAGCAAGATAGAAATAATGTTGCAGTTTGTATAAATGCTGCAAATCTGTCTCCAGTCTTTGATAAAGATATGCCTCCCCTAAGCATTGTAATTGTAATGTCACCGCAGTTTCTTACTCCTCATGAAAAAATTTTTGTTTTAGAGTTGTCATAAATCGCTTGATGGTCTTAAAGTATATGATAAATTAAAATGTACCCTTTTTACCATTCCACATGTACAGTACAGTATATAAAAATGATAGTCTTCATAGTCTTTTATCAAAATTTAAGAACCTGCCGTCTCTGAAATGACTCCCCTTTTCTCTTGCCCACTTTTCACAATCCAATTCATTCCCAAAGGATAAAATCAAGAATTAACTTTTTTTTCTAACTAGTTGTCCTATTTCACTCAGAAATGTGTCAGATTACAAAAGAAAAATGGTTTGCAAATCACAGTTCAGGTTAATTTTGTTTCCCTTGCTAAATACAACAAATGTCTGATTGAATATAATGTTGCATTTGGAAAATATAGAAGTAAAAACAGGCACAATATACACTCATGCTAGCACTCTTTTGATATGTTATTCCAAAAAATACCAGCCAAACACTCCAAGCCAATCTTTAAAATGTCCCTGGTCACATCTATAGTTTTATAGCAGTCATTTTTATTACGGAAAGTTTTTAACATAAGCATAGGGCCATGCAGACAAGACCTTAGTGAATACTCATCTCTGCTTGCTGTAAGATAATATCTTACTACCATATACTCATACTATTTTTGCAGTATGCAGTATAAGTACTGTTCTCAGTTTGCTAGTTTTCCAGTATGCATAGAATTCCCAAAGGACTTAATAGATACAGCAAAATGTGCAGTAGACCTGTACAACAGAGCACTCTGTATGAGATACTGTATCCCACAATATGCTGCACTTTCTATTTCCAATGTGATGAGTGAACTGGAATGCATAAGCAAAGTGTGGAGGGCTGTATTCTGTTACCAATTACGGTTCCACTTTATATTTAATGTCTTTAACTACTATATGTAAAAATGAATAATGTGCAGTGTAATTGTGTACATACATTTTGTTCTGCAAAACTCTTGTGAGATTTTGTAGAGAAGGGAATCATCTGTTAATTGACCAACCAGACAAAACTTTTTGAGAAAAAATACTATATATCAGTTTATTACAAGTCCTTTATGCACTCTTAACATTGTGTTCTGTGATACTGATGCAATTGTGAATCATTTGCTTATTGGAGAGGTTTTAGAATTGCTTAATTTTGTCATATGATCCAGTATTGCGAGTGTTGTGTGCCTCACTCAAATACAGTCGACCCATGCTGGGAGCTTTTGTGCGCAATGCTGTGTGTATTTCCCAATGGACAAGCCATGCTGTTTGATTACCCATGATACCACATGTGTGTAGTAGAGTCACGCTGTGTGTATTGTTTGATAAGCCATAATCATAAATCCTAAAAGCTAATCACGCGCCCACTCTGCACCCAATCAAAACACAGCCACATTACCCAGCGCTGTACTATTGAGCTATCCATCATGAGTAATATCAGTGCCCTGTGTGCCTGAGAGAGAAAGATGTTTCCTGTTGTGCTTTTCATGGGTGTGTGTCAGCTTGTGGGGGTTAGTTTTGTTTGTAATGTGAGGTTGTGTATGTGCTCACCCAAAAATGTAAACTCTGTCATAATTTACTCACACTCATGTTCCAAGCTCCTTTTTTCCAGTTCATATTTTTAAGAATCTTCAAGGAGTTATTTTCCATACAAAGAAAGTATATAGTGACCGGTCAAACTGTCAAACTCAAAAAATTACTGTAAGAAATACACACTGTAAGAAAAAAATTCATTAAAAAGTATTAATAATAATAATACATTTTCTTCCAGTAGGTTTATGGACATTTTATAGGTTACACTTTATTTTATGGCGATGTTGTTACAGTGTGATTACACAAATTAGTATTGAATAATATTAATTAGGTACATGTAGTGATGGGACGATTGATACCGAGGCTCCGATGCAGTTTTCAAAGCACTATTGTATCACACACTGTGCCGATGCTTGTATCGAAATGACAATACCACGTGATTGATGACGTTTGAAACAGCGTATGTTGTTCTGTGTCAGCCGCACCACACGGAGAACAACGTAGCCCAACAACGTAGAAAACGTATCCGTGTGGTGCGGCTGACACAGAACAACATACACTGTTTGCGTTCAGTGGATACTCTCCAAAATGGCGCTAGGGTGACGCGGAGGAGACGAATTGTTGAAAAAAGTCGGGGTTTTTTTCTTTTGCGCACAAAAAGTATTCTCGCGGCTTTGTAATATTACGGTTGAACCCCTGATGTCACATGGATTATTTTACTGATCTCCTTGCTACGTTTCTGGACATTGATCGTAGTAGTACCCTTGCTGTCTATGGGAGGGTCAGAGAGCTGTCAGAATGCATCAAAAATATCTTAATTTGTGTTCCGAAGATGAACGGAGGTTTTACAGGTTTGGAACGACATGAGGGTGAGTAATAAATGACAGAATTTTCATTTTTGGGTGCACTAACCCTTTAAGCACAAATAAAAGCTTGACGATGCTAAATGTTAAGTTTTCTGATCAAATAATACATATTAAAGTGTGGCAAGTAAATGGTGCTTCAATTATTTTATGGTTTTTATACTTTTTATATGGCATAATATATGATAATGTAAAATGTTAGTAAACTGACTTGAACTTTTTTAAACCCATAGAGCAGTGGCCTGGATTCAAACATCCCGTCACGCAAAGTAAAGCATTCACATGACTGGAAAGAAATAAGGCTTCGTTTTTTTGTTGATCACATGATTCTCTGAAAACAATACATGCTCCAGCACAGAGCTTCGTGAGAAATTGTGCTGCTCATACTTTTACTTATTACTATAGAACGTAAAAGTAACGTAACTTTGTAACCTTCAAATCAATTGTTACCCTTTTCTTTACACAACACAATGCAATGTTTTCTTACAGAGTCTTTAAGGATTTAAGCCCCCAAAGGATGTCAGAACGGAAGGTTCAGGGGCTTTTGAAAACTATATATACTAAACAATTTTGATCTTGACATGTTTAAATAACCACAAAAATTATGTGGAACTGAACAGATGTGTGCGAACAAAAGAAATACTCACCAAAAAAGGCAACTACGTCTTGCATTGTTAAATTTATGAGCTATATTCCAAGACTTCTGAAGCTTTGCATGAGTGGGAGACCCACATTTGTGTAGTCATCCACTGATTATATGTCCTGTCTCAAATGTCGTTTGCATATATGCATAATCAAACTTGATATGTCAAAGGCTTAAAATTTTTAACCAAACAGCACATACCAAATTTGACTATTTGGAAGTTTGAATAAGATTGTTTTTGGAAAAAAGCAACATGGACATTCTGCTTAACATCTTTTGTGTTCCATTGAAGAAATCAAGTTTAAAGTGATAATATTAAATAGTAAATAAAAACAGTAATATAGTAAATGATGACAGAATTTTCAGTTTTGTGTGAACCATTCCCATTTTTTCCATTCTGCAGCTCAAGAAGAAATAGAAAAAAAAAAGTTCCTCCTTGGGTGGGCGTGGCTTGTATGCAGCAGCCTGTTTATCCCTTGACCAATCATCTGGCTCATCTGGTTTGGTGCGGGGTGTCATTATTGGTTCCTCCGATAATGACAGACGCCGGTGCGTGTGAGTTAAGGGTAGCGGTGGTGATGGCAGTTGCAGTGTCATTAGCGTGCACCCTCGAGGAGAGATTAGTCTGATTTATGGTGAGCGACGCTAATGGAACAGATATGGCTGCTCTCGCACCCTGCCATCCACGCTAATGAAAGTTTTGTGCAAATGTGAAAGAGAGCGCCGCAGAGCTGAGGCTCTCACCAGCACAACATCACCTCTTTTTTATTGTCTAATTCAGTTTTTATGTAAGTGACATCAGGTTGAATATTTCACTCTGTCATTAGTGCAGTGTTCTTTTAGTGTGTGTTTTTCTGTCTTACATCAACTTTTAATAAAGCAATAGGTATTATAGGATTATATAATAGGATTATAAGGGTATAAAGCAATAAGGGTTTAAAGCAAGCAAACAAACAAACAAACAAAAAACCCTTAACCATGATACAAATCTATTCCATTTTGCAACTCTGGCAAAATTGTATTACGCTTTTACACATTTCACAACACAAATGTCCAGTGAGTCGGGCTAAAAGTCTGTTCAGTTTATCCGAAACAGATGAGCGTGAATCTGCCAAAGTTTTATTACATTGGTTCTTGCACATATTGTGGCACTTTGTAAATGAAATGTACGGTGAGTGGCTTTAAAAGGTTAATGCTTTATTGCTTTTGAAAATAACACACCACCTATACTAAAACCCTACATTAAACCTAACTGGTAGATTTAAAAAAGCAAACATGAGATAAAAACAAATTCGCTGCAGCAATCATGCCATTATGCCATTATAATGCTTCTAAATGTGTTTGAGCTCCTTTATTGTGACTCGTGTTTCATGGGACTGGTACCCCAGAGCGCTCCGCATTGCAAGTGAAGCATTGTACCAGGTGCGCTACCGAGCAAGTTTACTACATT